CCTCCTGGGAAAGGGCTGGAGTGGGTAGCAGAAATCTATGCTGATGGGAGCACATACTACAACCCATCTCTCCAGAGTCGAACCACCATCTCTGCAGACACATCCAAGAGCCAGTTCTCCTTGCAGCTGCGCTCCCTGGCAGCGGCAGACACCGCCACGTATTTCTGTGCCAGGAGGACACAGTGACACAGAGCAGAGTAGGGGCTGCACAAAAAGGGGAAGCTTTTCTCTCACACAAGCCCCAGGCCTTTTGAGAGTAGACTTGCCATTAGATCCTGGGAGAAATACTGTCTGGAGAGCAGGCAGAGTTATTTCAGGGGAATAAGGAGGGATAAATCCCTTGTACACCCAGCTCTTCACAGACGCAGGTGGGTAAGGCTGAATATTAGAGGGGCACAAGTCAATTTTCAAAAAGCATCTTTGCAGCTCGGGTGCCTAAAATCCATTGAAATCAGAAAACGTGGCTCTGATCCTTACCAGTGTCATTTAAATCCCAGCTACTAGCCTGATGTGCTAAAATCCCCCACGCACAGAGGACATGGCAGCCACAGCACCTCCCTGCTCCCCCAGCGCTCCCCTGTGCCCTCTCACTGAACACTGCTGCCAGAAACAGCCCTCGACAACATGGTAACATGCATCACAAATTAGAGCAACTTCCCCTTAGGGATTTCTCCTACATGAAGGACAAACCATTTCTGACACCCTACTCGGCACAAGGCCACTAACCAGATCCACCAGGCCCCATCTTTATAGCCACCTCCAAGCACTGCTTCTCCATGCAGGGGCAGAAACAAGTATGAGCTAGTGCACCAAGGAGAGACTGGCATGGATGCGTAGGGACACACTGGAAAGCAGGGTATCGAGCAGCCTGGGCAGCAGGTTCTGTACAGAAACAGGGTTGTGGATCAGCCAGGACAGTCTAGTGGGCACCACAGCTGTGTCCCCCTACTTCTCCCCTCAACATGTATGAAACATGGCAAAGTGCCCCACACATGTACCTCTGAAATAAGTGCTATGCCCGATAGCTCCCTGGTTTTACCTACATGGTCCTGGGACCTCATATTGTGGGAGAAGGACACTCACGGCAGGCTTCTGTATGACACCGTGTGTGACTGACGCCCAGCCCCTTCGACCACAGAGCCCAACAAGGCACGTTCTCTGCACACTCAGGGCCCTGCCCCTTCCTTCGAGTGGTTTCTGTCTATCTTGTGCCCAACCATCCGCTCCCATCCCTGAGCCTGTAGCTCTTCCCAGGGCATCTATTCCCTGTCAGTATGGCAGCAAGGTACTGCGGGCCTTAGTCATAGCTATGGAAACCACTGTCAGATGGCCTCAATTTCTCTCTTTTCCCCAGAGCCCTCATGATTCCCAAGCTGATAACCCTTCTCTATACATGTTCAAATCTCTGTCTTCCACGTAAGCTATGTAGCCCCTCCTGCCCCTGCATCTCCTGCCAAAGATGAGCCCTACGTGGCCCCAAACCCACAGTTCCTGCCTACTCAGACCAGGCCATGGGAGTCAGGACATAACTGAACAGTGCTACTGCTCAGCAGGTTCCCCGGGCACGTTGTAATCAGGGGACTCAGAGCCAGCGTGTGAAGCAGCCACTGGGGCATGGTACAGCACAGGGGGAGAGGTGCAGTCCCCCACCTCATGGTAGACCCCTGCCTACAGACAGGTCCCCTGGGAGATCATCCCTGCATCGCTCCTGCTCGTGACTCTCCTTCTCCAGCAGAGAAGTGCCATGCTCCTGGGGGTGCTCAAAGAGCGCAGTATCTGGCTGCCGTTCACATGAAGTGGACACTGGTCCCACAGGGGATATTGCACGCCCAGCCTGGCTCCTCTTGCATATGGGTCCTGTGGAGGGTACAAATGTCTCCTCCCACACTGCCTACTTAAATACAGGTCTGAGTGCCGGAGCCTGAGTCCCAGCCCAGCATCCACCCAGCCCGCTCCTGCCTCCTGGGAGATTCATTTCTTCTGAGGCAGAGGATGGAGATGCCCCTGCTACTTTTTGCCCTGTTCTACCATTTCAATTGTGAGTGTGCCAGGGGCAGGGGGCATGAAACACAGCAGGGAAATGGATGTGTTCAGAAGCTAACTCACTCCCTGCCTTATTTTTTTTTCCAGGTGCCACCTCGGCAGTGACACTGGTGGAGTCTGGCCCAGGGGTGGTGAAGCCTGGACAGACCCTGACCCTGACCTGTGCTGTCTCTGGGGTCTCGATGTCTCAGGCAAGCTATGGTTGGCACTGGATCAGACAGCCTCCTGGGAAAGTGCTGGAGTGGGTAGCAGCAACATATCCTTACGATGGGACCACATACTACAACCCATCTCTCCAGAGCCGAACCACCATCTCTGCAGACACATCCAAGAGCCAGTTCTCCCTGCAGCTGCGCTCTCTGACAGCCGCAGACACCGCCACGTATTACTGTGTAACACAGTGACGCAGAACGAGCAGGGGCTACACAAAAAACGGAAGCTTTTTTCACACACATGCCCCAGGCCTTTTGAGAGCAGACTTGCCAGTAGATCCTGGGAGAAATACTGTCTGGAGAGGAGGCAGAGTTATCTCAGGGGAATCGGGAGGGATAAATTCATTCTAAACCCAGCTCTTCACAGACGCAGGTGTGAAAAGGCGGGAGATTAGAGGGGCACAAGTGGATTTTCAAAAAACATCTTCACAGCTCAGCTGCCTAAAATCCATGACGGAAGCTTTTCTCACACACATGCCCCAGGCCTTTTGAGAGCAGACTTGCCATTAGATCCTGGGAGGAATACTATCTGGAGAGGAGGCAGAGTTATCTCAGGGGAATCAAGAGGGATAAATCCCTTCTATACCCAGCTCTTCACAGATGCAGGTGTGAAAAGGCGGGAGATTAGAGGGGCACAAGTGGATTTTCAAAAAACATCTTCACAGCTCAGCTGCCTAAAATCCATGGAAATCAAAGGAGCTGGCACTGATCCTGGCCAGCTCCACTTCAAGCCCAGCTACCAGCCAGACATCAACACTCCTCCAGGCACCATCCTTCCCAGGAAGCCAACGGGGACCAGGGCTGAGGCAGCTCTCACTTCCCACAGACGACTGCACTGACATCCACAGCACCAGCAAATCCTTGCCCAAGCGGTCCTGCATACATACAGCCCCTTACTCCCACAGCAGAACCCAGGCACTTCCAGACCCCCCACCTCCCTCCTCCTGCCCCATCCCTCCACCCTGCCCCTGCCCCTAAGCCAGCGCTGGTGGAGGTGCTATTCCCACGCCAAAGTAAAAGGCCTGGGCCAGGGCCAACAGCTGCCAGGGGAGATTTCCTGGGATCCCTGGGGCTGAAGCAGCAATCCTCGAGTGGGTTGGGGGCAGTTACTGAACCATGCCCACATAATCCTGCCCCATGGGGAGACTCATCACAACAGCCAAGCTCAGGGAGTTTCTGAGACGAGGCCAACAAGGCCCCTAAACCTCTGTGTTGCTTCAGGCAGCAGCCCCCTGCCATCGTGCTGCATTTACCCCTCACGCCATGGGATTCTCCTCTCTGCACAACCAGCCCCATCACAAATCCAGTTGACTTCTGTATTCCCCCCTCAGCTCCTGTGAAACAAGCCATCACTTCTACTCCAGAGCAGGACCCTTTGGAATAAAACTAGGCACCCCAGGGCTCTGGGGCTCACACCCAGACAGTCACAAGACCGCACCAGGAAAGGGGCTTTTCCAAACCACCTTTAGGGCTTTATCGGCTTCCCCAGATTTCTGTTATCACTAAAAAGATTGATGTTGTGTCCAGTGAGACCTGCAAAAGCACCCTTATGAAACAAGCACAGGTAAATGGTAGACCCCTTTTCCTGCTTTACTTTCCTTCCTAAACAGCACCCAGGCTCTCTGAGCTTCAGCATCTCCCCAGACCTGCCCCCTCCTGCCTGCTGGGGACACGGGGCATCAACCACAATGACCATGACACTGGTGCTCGTTTTGCTTTCCCTGCTGGCAGCCCCCCACGCTGCCTCCCACTCCCATCCTTGGGTGAGTGTTTCCTGCACTGGATGGCAAGGGGGTGTAGGGGCAGGCTCTATTAGCTAAAGACATGGTCATTTCTCCATTAGGATGTCAACATCCTCTGCACTAAACCCCTGCACTCACCTACTGACTTCCAGCACAGATTCAGCAGCTGCCACTTTTCATCGCAGTCTCTCTACAACACTGCTCCAGTCACACCCACTCTCCAGAACCCACAACCTGCAGTCGGGATAGCCCCTGCACACAAATCCCAGGACACTGCAGTGACAGCTACAGCACCAAACATGATCCAGACACACCAAGGCAGCTGCCAGCTGCATCCAGGGGAACAAAACCCCCAGGGTCAAGACAGGGGCACAAGGAGGAAAGCCTCAGTCTCAGTCCTGGGGGTGTCAAGCTCCCAGGGGAGCTTTCACTCCAATTTTTCAGCTCCAGGGCCCCAATGAATGATGGAGCACCTGGAGCTGATAAGCAAGTAATGAATGCAACTGAGAAATAATTAGGGCCCTCAATAACCCTTTCCAGCCTGCTTCTCTCAAAGCAGTTTGGTCTCCATCAGAGTATGGACAATGTGTTTCTTCTGCAAAGAGGAGTAGAAGTTGTCCCTTTGGTTTCTGTGGGACCCCCATCTGCAGATGCTTCCAGGGATAAGGTCCTTGCAGCTGAGCTCTCCAGCACCTGGAGACACCCTCCCCTCCTCACCCTAAGTGCCTTACTGCTCTGCAGTGAAGTGGCATCCTGCAGCTCAGCACAGCCTGTGCAGAGAGGCAGGCATGTCCAGAGAGACTCAGTGCCCTGCCAGCTCCCAGCTTCCTGCTGCACCTGGAACAAGGACCTACAGGGGCAGGGACAGACAGAAGCAGGGATGTTCCCGTCTCCTTGGCCCAGCCCTGGAGAGGCTCAAGTTGAGCCAGGCTGATTCCTCCACTAGAAAGCAGAACTGGCCCCACTCACCTGTCATTCCTGCCCTCCCCCAACCACCCCATACATCCCCTGTCCCACTGCACCAGCACACACATATATTCCCTGCAATTGTATTCAGCAAAGCATTTCCAAAACCCTTGAGAGGTTATATTCAGGTTCTCCTCTCCCACTCCAACTTTCCCTGCACAGTGTGATGGTTTGTAACTCCTTTTGGCTCCCATAGCACTCATCTTAATGGCTACCAGAGAAAACAAAATCATCTACCTGATTGAGTGCAGCATCTGCCGCCTGTCTCAAAGAGGAAACTGGTACCTCAGGGAATACTACAGCCTCAGTTTGGCCCCTCTTAGACCCTTCTGGACACACGCATGCAAATGTCTCCTCCCAGGCTGTCTGCTTAAATACAGGCAGGAGTCCCAGAGCTTTAGTCTCAGCCCAGCCCTCACTCTGCCCCCTCCTTCCTTCTACGAGCTGAATTTCTTAGGAAAGCCCAGGATGGAGACTCCCCTGTTGCTCCGTGTCCTCTTCTCATCTCTCACCTGTGAGTGTGCCTGGGGCAGGGAGCAAGAAACACAGCAGAGAAATGGATGTGTTCAGTAGTTAAATTGCTCCCTGCCTTATTTTTTTTTCCAGGTGCCACGTCAGCAGTGACACTGGTGGAGTCTGGCCAAGAGGTGGTGAAGCCTGGACAGACCCTGGTCCTGACCTGTGCTGTCTCTGGTGCCTCCATTTCTGACTCAAGCTATGCTTAGCACTGGATCCAGTAGCCTTTTGGGAAAGGGCTGGAGTGGTTAGCAAGAATCTACCCATTTTCGCGGAGCACATGGTTCAGCCCATCTCTCCAGAGCCGAACCACCATCTCTGCAGACAAATCCAAGAACCAGTTCTCCTTGCAGCTGCGCTCCCTGGCAGCGGTAGACACTGCCATGTATTTCTGTGCCAGGCACACAGTGACACAGAACAGCACAGGGGCTGCACAAAAAGGGGAAGCATTTCTCACACACATGCCCCAGGCCTTTTGAGAGCAGACTTGCCATTAGATCCTGGGAGAAATGCTGTCTGGAGAGCAGGCAGAGTTATCTCAGGGGAATCTGGAGGGATAAATCCCTTGTACACCCAGCTCTTTGGTCTTATTCCATGGGGTATGAAAAGGCAGGAGAGGAGACAGCCATGAAAGAAATTCCAAAAAGCATCTTCTCAGCTCAGCTGCCTGAAATCCATGGAAATCAAAAAACGCGGCTCTGATTCTTACCAGTGTCGTTAAAATCCCCCTACTAGCCAGATGTGATGGCAGCCCCAGTACCTCCCTGCTGCCCCAGCGCTCCCCTGTGCCCTCTCACTGAACACTGCTGCCAGAAACAGCCCTCGACAACATGGTACCGTGCATCACAAATTACAGCAACTTCCCCTTAGCGAATTCTCCTACACCCAGGACAAACCACTTCTGACCCCCTACCCAGCACAAAGCCACTAACCAAATCCACCAGGCCCCGTCTCTCTAGCCACCTCCAAGCACTGCTTCTCCCTGCAGGGGCAGAAACAGATGTGAGCTAGTGCACCAAGGAGAGACTGGCATGGATGCGTAGGGACACACTGGAAAGCAGGGTATTGAGCAGCCTGGGCAGTGGGTTCTGTACAGAAACAGGGTTGCGAATCAGCCAGGACAGTCTAGTGGGCACCACTGCTGGGTCCCCCATGCCCCTCCCCTCAACATCTATGAAACATGGCAAAGTGCCCCACACATCCTTGGAAATAAGAGCCCTGCCCAATAGCTCCCTGGTTTTATCTACATGGTCCTGGGACCTCATGTAGTGGGAGGAGGATGTTCACTGCTGGCATCTGTATGACACCGTGTGTGACTGAAGCTCAGCCCCTTCGACCACAGAGCCCAACAAGGCACGTTCTCTGCATGCTCAGGGCCCTGCCCCTTCCTTCGAGCTGTTTCTGCCTCTCTTGTGCCCAACCAGCCTCTCCCTCCCTGAGCCTGTAGCTCTTCCCAGGGCATCTATTCCCTGCCAGTATGGCAGCAAGGGGGTGTGGGTCTTAGTCATGGCTATGGAAACCACTGTCAGAAGGCCACAATTTCTCCCTTCTCCACAGAGCCCTCAAGATGCCCAAGCTGATAACCCTCCTCTATACACGTTCAGGTCTCTGCCTTCCACGTCAGCTATGTTGCCCCTCCTGCCCTGCATCTCCTGCCAAAGATGAGCCCTACGTGGCCCCAAACCCACAGTTCCTGCCTACTCAGACCAGGCCATGGGAGTCAGGACATAACTGAACAGTGCTACTGCTCAGCAGGTTCCCCGGGCACGTTGTAATCAGGGGACTCAGAGCCAGCGTGTGAAGCAGCCACTGGGGCATGGAACAGCACAGGGGGAGAGGTGCAGTCCCCCACCTCATGGTAGACCCCTGCCTACAGACAGGTCCCCTGGGAGATCATCCCTGCATCGCTCCTGCTCACGACTCCCCTTCTCCAGCAGAGAAGTGCCATGCTTCTGGGCGTGCTCAGTG